ACACACACACACACACACACAAGTTAATAATAATAACCCAATTCTTACTTATTTGTGTGGCAGCTCAACATCCCAATAATAATAATAATAATAATAATTCAATTCAATTCGTGTTTATTTATGTGCAAACTTAACAGCACAGTGGCCAATTACAAAGTTAGCACGAGTACATAGAAATACACAAAAATTAAAGAGCAAAATAAAAAATATGACAGTCTACACAGTATCAATAAATTAGTAACAATTCCAAGAAAAGAAAACAAAAAAATAAAATAATTTAGCCTTAACAGGCGAGAAAAATAAAATAAGTACATTTCGAATGGTTATTCCATTATGTGATGAGAAAGGACAATACACATACATGCACAATAATTCAGTTCATGTTTACTTACATACAAACTTAATAGCACACAGGCCAGTTAAAAGGTTAGTATGAGTACCTAGAAATACACAAAAATAATTAAAAAGCAAAATACAAAATTTGAGAGTCTATATAATGGCAATAAATTGATAATAATTTCAAGAAAAATTAAAGTTAACAGGAGAGAAAAATAAAACAAGACAAATATATGTACATACACAGGCCGTGCCATAGCTCAAGCGGTTAGTAGCTGGCTTCCCACCTCGGCAGCCTGGGTTCGAGCCAGGGTCCAGTCAAATGGGATTTGTGGTGCTGGGGTGGGTTTTCTCCGAGTACTTCGGTTTCCCTGCCAATCTTCAGTCTGCCAAATTCTGCATCATCATAATCACTCAGGGCACGCTACAGTAGACCAATCAGTGGGCACTGTGCTGAGTGGACCCGGTTGGACTCCACCCCACCACTAAGTGAATTTAATTTAAATTTTACATACATACACACACACACACGTAATATTAGAAGTATTATCAAATATTATTAAAAATTTTAGGTTCAATGTGATTGACAGAAAATGTTCCGATTGCAAATATGCCGAGATCTTTATCCACCGTGTTGGCAGCATAGGCGCATCGAGCAGAAGGACAGTGTTTATTAGAGGGACAAACACCAAACAATGAGAAGTCCCTAAGATTGCTGGGAGGAACACAAAGGCTAAAATTTTCCAAAAGAGAAGCACAGGGTTTAAGACGAAAGACCTGAACAAAAATAAGTGCATCAAGGTGATGTCTGTTTAAGTAAAGAATGTAGACTTAGTTTCTCTAAAGCATCAGTATAAGATGGAATATGAGGGAAAAAACGATAAAAACAGATGGACACAAACTTCTGCTGGATGTGCTCAAGCTTACTGGCATCAATCAATGTGATGGAGTTCCAAACTACTGAGGCATATTCCAACTTGGACCTGACTAAAGTAAAGTATAGTACATACAGACTCTCCAGGGAGGAAAACCTGTAGGTAATGGAGCGAATAAGGCCTAAAAGCTCTATGCATTCAGAATATATGTAATTAACATGTGTGAAAATATAGCTTTGAATCAAAGAGAACACCCAGGTCATTAATACGCTGGTGCGTATAATGATAGCATGACAAAGCTGATATTCATAGCTCAGAAAATTTAGCATTTTCTGTGACAGAACTATGTCAATATTCCCATTGTTGTATGTTGCAGTTCTCGTAGGCAACACACATTTTGATGGAGTGTGGTATGGGAGTTCCATAATGAAACCTGTCTAAAACATTATATCAGCTTCCACTTTGGTTGGTCTGAATTACTTTCATGTATGTCTTACAGAAGTATTAGAAGTTACAAACGTTTGGTAAAGTTTTTGTGTATATGTAAAATGGACTCTGTATGGTTGCAACTTACCTCTCTTTTACTATTTTTATCGAGTAAAGTACAGCCAATGATATCTCTTTCCCAAAACTTATCCTATAAACTGTGGCTCTCATATCTGCATACAGTGTCAGCATATGACAATTTGGATTAACTGACAGTGGACTATTCTAAACACCTTGAAAACTAAACTTGAAAAACTGTTGTCTTCTTAGATGTGAGGTCATGTAGACTGGTAGAATGTTACCACCACTTTGGAGGAACATGTAAAGTGATAAGACCCTGAAGATGGAGGCCTCACATTCCTCAGAGATGTTGGTAACATTCTACCAATGTACATGGTGTCACGTCACAGAAGGCTGAAATCTTTGTGTTTACAGGCATATTCCTATGGATGATCTTAGCCGAAGACTTGCCCACTTAGAGAGAATATATTGTAATTGCACATACAAGGAGTACACAGTCATGAGTAGATAACAGTTAGTTTTGATTTGACATGAGAGTTAGGTGTAGGAATTGAGAACTGACAGTTGCGTGTTATGTGTTTGTCGATACTTTGAATTGGATGGTGACAGTGAGGAGGCTATGGCTGGTTCATTCACTGTATCC